TGTGACCAATTTTGAAGCTTCTTATTGCTTTTTGATTGAATAAAACTATTCATATAACATTTTCTAAGGTGTTTGGATTGGACTGTCAACTGGCTATATAATTTGGGCGTAGCATTGACTGACTAATACTACACTAATTTATTCGGAGAAGTTACCTGGAAATTCCTGAAAAGCATAGAATATATTTGGTAAATGAGAAGCATAAATGACCAACAATTGATCGTATCAGTTGAGATCTTTTGTTGCCACGAGGACCAACTTATCAGCTTTTGAAGGGTCAGAATTTTGGGTTTAGGGAATATTTAATGAGCAAAAGAGAGGTCAGTTGAACGTGTCACCTGTCTAATTATATGTTGCAATAAACTAAAAACTTTTGTTAATGTAAAAATTTTGTACATGTTTATTTACCCACCTTCATTTAATCTAAACTTCTAGTTTAATTTTTGCTATATTATATTCTGCACTGATTCCCTTGTCATTTTTTGTGACTTGCAGTATATTGCATTCTTCAAAGTTGTCATTAATGTTCTCTATAATTTGCATACTGAGATAAGTTGCTCACTTTTTTGGATGTTGTATTTAACAGCTGAGTGAGCAAGAGGATCTTATTGTGTGGATGCGAACTGCTGCTCTTCCAACTTTTAGGAAGCTGTACGGACGAATAGAGGTTGACCTCAAGGCAGGTGACCAGATACATGTGACAGTGAAGAACAATTACAACACATACAGTTTTAATGGAAAGAAGACGCTTGTACTGTCAACTACTACTTGGCTTGGTGGGAAGAATAACTTTCTTGGCATTGCATATCTGTCTGTTGGAGGACTGTGCTTCTTTCTGGCCATGACTTTTACTATCATATATTTGATCAAGCCAAGGTAAATACTTAAAATGCATGGAAAGTTAAAATAATAATAATAATAATAATAATAAGAAGTCATACTATTTCAAGGCTATTATTTTTATTGTGTTTGAACATTATGTGTACGGGATGGGGCTTCATCATTCTCATCCCCCCTTTCCATCATCCTTTTCTACCAAGCGGGCTTTGAAGTATCTGCTCTGACCAGAACTCAGATAATATAACTAAATGAGGAAGCATCATAATGTGAAAACCACCAGAAGATTCTTTATAAAATTTATTTCCACTATGCTCTAGTTATTGGCATTGAACAAAACCTCTTGGTCAGCAACATATCTAAGGACTGGGTTGTTAACAGAGCACGATGGCGTCGTGTGATTCATATAGCTGACCCTACCTAGTGGGATAAGGCTTGTTGTTGTTGTTATGTTCTAGTTATTGGATGATAATGACCATCATCATCTTAGTCTATTTCAAATGCTAAGGTTCACATAAGGTATATTCTACATCAACTGTCATTTTTCCTCTATTAACGTTGATTGTGTTCCAAATTTCATATCTGTCAGATTCTGTTCAGTAGTTTTCTGAATGGCTATTTCTTTCCCCTAATCATTGTTTACAAAGATCCTAATCTGTCTGCATCTCACTGTGATTCTAGGCAACTTGGAGATCCATCATATCTGTCATGGAATAGGAGTCCTGGTGGGCAATAAGCAGAGATCCTAATTTACTAGTTACCTTCCAAGATTCAAGGCTTGCTTATTTTGCTGTGTCAGGTTTTGTGTGTATCTATGTTGCTTATACGTGCTGGATTCGCTTAAGCAATCACATGATATTATCATCTTTTGTCTGGGTCTTCTATGCTTCATTAATGTAAACATGTGTTGCGTGTGAGAAATAGTATCCAGTATTTCTAGCAGTCGTTTTCTTATACAAACTTGAGAGAAAAAGGAGGGTTCTTGTTTCCTCTTCTGGCTCTGGTAGATTTGTATAGAAGGAATAGAAAGAGTCAAGTGAGGTTTCTTGTTTCCCTTTTTTGAAATGGAGAGACAGATGATTTTCCTTTCATTTCCTTTTCTTCCTGTTTCCCATGTTTGGTCGAAGGCTTATTCGGTTAGCACGAAATAAAGTTAAAAAAAAAAAAGAAATAAATTAATTTGATTTTGTAGATAAGAAATATTGTGTTTACTGCTTTAATGAAGAAGATAGCGAAATACTACCTCCGGTTCTAATTATAAGACCCAGTTGATTTATTTGAGGAGATTAAGGAAGTAAGTTAAGTTAGTTATTTGTGATAAATAAATGTTGTCATTCCTAAAATATCCTTGCTAATTAAGTGTATTTGTTAGAACTATCATTATTAGAAGGACTATCTTGAAAAAAAATGTATAAATATGATAGAAAAAATAGATTGGGATCTTATAATTAGGACCAAATAAAAAGTCAAATGGGGTCTTATATTAAGGACCGAAGGTAGTAGTTACTCTTTTGTGATTGGGTAATAATAACAAATATGTAAAATAGATTTAGACTAGGATTCCCTCCTCTACCCTCTTCTTCCTTTTACCACTACTGGATTGAAATTTTATTGATTTAGATTTAATATTTTATTAAAATAAATATTATTATAATTTTAGATTAAAAAAGATAAATAAATTTAAATTGTTAAATTTTAATCCATTATTATTACTATTATAAAGTATATTTTTAAAAAATTTTACAGTTATGAATTATTTGGATTATATTTTAACAGTTTAAATTTTTTGATATATTTTGAAATAAAATTACAATAATATTTATTTTCATACAATGTTAAGTCTGAACATCCAATGATGATAAAACAAAGAGAAAAGGAGGGTAGAGGAGAGAGAGTAGAAGAGAGATCCCTTCCGAGCCAAGGTGGCACACTATTATTTTTGTTCAGAGTAATTGAATATGGTACACTTAAATGCTTATTTCTAGCAATAAAAGCAAGACAGTCCTACAGTTGAATTATCTGTCTGGTTTACTCTCATGTGACATGAATTTTCTTTTTCTTTTTTTTTTGGGGAACTGAAGGAGGTGATTATGGATGATTTGAAATATTTTTCCCAATTGAAATATTTCAAAATTAAAGTGAGGTGGTGACTGGCGTATTTTTTGAATAAATAATTGAGTGAATTTATTTATTTATGTATGTGGAGTTTTCTTCCTTGATTGTGGAAATTAATTTTTGGTGGAAAAGTCTTCCCTGGCGGCTTTGACCGTATGAACCAGTTTCCTAAAATAGAACTTTATTTGATCAACGGGGCAAAAACGACAAATTAATTTGCCCAGAATCATGGGGTCAACATATGTGACGTGGCCATGCCGTCGCCCTAATAGTTCATTAATTGGCCTAGTAAAACATGCGACTAGACTAAAATATTTTTCTAAATAAGTGGAAATTAATGGTGGAAAAGTGCGTTATCTGCTTTGATCAGAAAGGTTTTTTTCCCCACGCACATATATTCTTCTGTTTGAATCTAAGTGTTATAAGATACTAAATGAGTATTTCTCTCAACAACATTTATACCATAATTTATCATGTTATAAAGGACTAATTCTTTCTACTAAACTTAATCCCATTACTTTTGAAGAGATATTTTATTTTAACATGTGAAAATAGTTGTAAGTTTTAAACTTACTGATTGCAAACCTTAGTTTAAATACTTGCAAATAATTTTTTATTTCTAAAAATAATTATTAAAGTCAAAGTTGAATTTAAGTGCTTTTTTATATTTTAAAAGTAAAATTTTCAACAATGAATCAACATCATTATATATATTACAGGGGAATTAATTGCTCTAATTTTTTTCATGATGAAGATGGCTGCTGGTTGACGTACATTAGCTGGACTCACACGGAGCAATTAATTATCAAATCAGACGACGAACTATTCGCTCTTGGAGTTGTTAGTTTTGCATTTTTGGGGAAAAAAGTTCAAAGATGTTTTAATTAATTAAATCAATCGTCAACTTGACTGTTTTAGGTCAAATGAAGAGTTTGACTAGCTCCTTACAGAGTGAACTTTTCTTCGATTGATCAATTGCAAATTTGTTTCATCGTCTTGAAATACTTGGGGGAAAAAAATTAAGCACTCATAAACATAATACTACCTTCGCACTTAATATAAAAAGTCGTTTAATTTTATTTTAATCCTAAATATAAAACGTCAATCTATTTTGTTCTTATATTTATATATTTTTTTGCAACTTCGTCTTTGTAATAACAATAGTTCTAGTTAATACATTTGATTAGTAAAGATATTTTAGGAAAGACAGCATTTATTTACTACAAATAACTAATTAAACTAATTTTTTTAATTTACTCAAATTAATCAACGAGTTCTTATATTAAGAATCAGAGGTAGTATAACAAACTAATAAGAGCTAGTTGACATGCAAATGAAAAAAAGTTAGTTAAAATTATTGAAGAAAATAAATATATATGTAAAACTATAATTTATTTTTCAACGATACCTTTTATAAAGAGACAGAGTGAGTGAGAAGAAAATTGAGAGGGAAAAAAAAAAGGCAGAGAGCTAATGAACTAATATAAAACATAATTAATGGGGATAAAAATGAAAAAAAAATATTATAATTTCAGGCACTTTTTAAGTACTTCCACGGTATGTTAAGACCCAATTAACTAATTTGAGTAGATTAAGATATTAGTTCAATTAGTTAATATAATATGTTTTTTTTAAAACATCATAATTATCTTTTTTAATTTTTCTCTTTACTCCTACTTGATTATTGATGAGGAAATATTAATAAATTAATTTAAAAAAATTAATAAATATGTGAAATAGATTTTATATATAGAACCAATATCAACTGTCAAATTAAATCCTACACTAAGGACAACACCGGAGGAGTATATCTTATAAAGTAGGATCGTACATGCTCCAAACACTATATCTTATATATATATGCTGGGAGAGAGTATTAATTAATAAATCTCTTCTACACAATCCTATTTGTTTGCTTGACTATAATTTTTATAATTGGACTCCTAAAAAAAACTGTTATCTTCATCTCCTTCACACACACGCACGAAAAATATATAAAAGAGCACGAACACTTTGGTGCATCTGGTGTTATCAGAAAGCAACCATAATGTCTCTGTCGCGCCCCTCCTTTGCTCCTTCGGTTTCTCCAGGTTCCAACTCTCTCTCTCTCTCTCTCTCTCTCTCTCTCTGTGATTTCAATTTTAAAGAAGGAACCAATACATATAATTGATATGATTCATAAGAAGCATCGAAATGAAACTTTTGTTTTGGGTTATGATTGATGGACTCCATCTTCATCATCTTCCATCTTCGCTATTTCTGAATCCTGCTCTTTTTACTGTGAAACGTGTGGATGATGGAACAACTCTGTTCCCACTTGAGAAGATTCACCTCATCATGTAATTGTCTGTGTTTTCATATTAAGATTACCACTAGCAGAATATAAATATATATATATATATTGAACGACTAATTCGTGAAATCTATCTTCTATATTTATGAAAATTATATTGTAGGAACTGAAAGTTGCATAGAATCTAGAAAACAAGTAGCACTGTTTATGATTTCGTTGTATAAATCAATAGATGGAGAGAATTCAATTTGGTTTGAGATGACGGTGTTTTTTCTCTCCTTCTTTTCTTTGGGTATGGTGAGAGAATGGGTTTTATATATACCTGAATGATTTTAGTTTCATAACGTTGTGTTACTTATTTGTTAATTATAATAATGAATTGTAAGGGGAAAATTATATATGATCATTTTTTTTATAAACGTGTTATGACATTTAATTGAAATAATATAAATATAATAATGTACAAAATAATACTCGTAACTCATTTTTAATTAATGATAGTTTAATTACAAATATTTATGTGCTTTATTATTCTATTTGAAATAAAACGTGGAAGAGCACATATTCAAAGCGTGGACGGAGACAAGTATAGTGCAACTTGCCTCTGACTATTCTAATGTTTTCTGTAACGTATAATTTAGGCTGGAAAGTAAATTAATCCTCTAATTTGTGACTTCTTTGTCTTTTGATGTCTCTTTCCTTCTTTGAACATTGAATTGTTCTTTCTATTGGAGAATGAACTAGTCCCCAAGTTTAGTTGACTGTATGTTAACATAATTATTCATAAAAATATTAATGTAAATTTAAAAACACTAACAAACCATATTAATTCATAGATTTGTAATTAAATAGCATAGCTCACTCTTTGAACTTGATGCAATGCATAGAATTAATGCAAGTTTGACAAAACTAACGTCTTTTGTATACTTTCATTCCTCAGCGACTTCGGTCGGATCAAATGCAAAGGACAAAGTTCAGAGCAAACCTGGCAATATTGTAACTTCATTAACATATCATCATCAACCTTCTCTATATTTCTTTTATATATACGATTTGAATCAAATTTAAACTTTAATATGCCAATTAATTTTTCTAAAAAATAAACAATAAAATGGTGAATTGAATTACATGCAGGTATTAGAGGGGAATAAAGAGAGAATAAAGAAGATGTTTGATAAGGTTGAATTGTCTGCATCTTCTTATGACACAGCTTGGGTGGCAATGATACCATCACCTTCTTCTCCAGAAAATCCTTTGTTCCCTCAAACCCTAAATTGGTTATTAGAAAACCAACAAAATGATGGGTCATGGGGTCTTTCTGATCGTCACGAGTTGCTTATTAAAGACTCCCTTTTATCTACTTTAACTTGTGTTATTGCACTTAAGCATTGGAATATTGGTGAACAACAAACTAACAGAGGTATTATTTACAGATTATTCTTTTTTTTTTTAATGCATAGTTGCCCACTTCTTGAAAATTCTTAGTGCTAGTTAATTGACTAATTGGATGGTTCTCTTTTCTTTTTGAAGGACTTCAATATATTGAGTCAAATATTGCTGCAGCTCATGATGATAAACAATACTCTCCAATTGGATTTGATATTATCTTTTCTAATTTAATTGAGTCTGCTCAAAAATTGGATCTAAATCTTCTTGCTGGAGGAAGGCATTTGCAGTCACTCATTCAAAAAAGAGAATTGGAGCTCAAAAGGTATGTATCTTTTTATCGTTTAGATTGAATAAAAAAATTTTCAAAACATTGCAATGAAATTAATTAATTAAATATAAATGGTTTAAATTTGTCTTGAGCAGTAAATAAATATAGGTACTCTGTGAAATCAACAAATAAATATGAATCATCCTAATTATTTTCTTTTAAATGTTAATTTGTGTGTTATTTTTTTTCACTTTTATTTTCAATAATTGTTATAAAAACAGAGGCTGGGAAACCAATTCAGAAGGATGGAAGGCATATTTAGCATATATTTCAGAAGGATTAGGAAAGTCACAGAATTGGGAAATGGCTATGAGATATCAAAGGAAAAATGGATCTTTATTCAACTCACCAGCCACTACAGCATCTGCTTTTACCCACCTGAACAATTCCCAGTGTCTTGATTATCTGCTTTCAATATTCAATAAATATGATAATACTGGTTTGTCACTTTCCACCTTTAATTTATTTTTTCCTTAGGTTTTTCTCATTAATCTTAATTTCAATTTTGCACTAGCTAATTAATTAATATCCTTTGTATATTCAGTTCCTACTGTTCATCCCCTGGATGTGTCTGCACAACTCCACTTGGTTGATTGTCTTCAAAAATTGGGTATTGATCGTCATTTTCAGGAAGAAATTCAAAGTGTGTTGGATGAAACATACAGGTATAATAATTCATTGGAAAATTTTAATAATCAAATTAATTGTATTATTTGAATAACAAATTGCATAATGCAACAGATTGTGGCAGCAAGATGATGAGGATATATTTTTAGAGCCAACCACATGTGCTGTGGCATTTCGTTTATTACGCCTTCACGGTTATGACATTTCTTCAGGTTTTATAACATTTCTGATCATTGTTCTTATATATGATTAAATATATATATTCTTAATTTAGTAATGAAAAATAATACTACATGGAAGTAACTCTGATATGAATAATTTAATTTTGTGTCCTCAGATGAAATGAATCGTTTCTCAGAAGACAAGTTCAGTAATACTCTTCAAGGATATTTGAAGGATGTTGGTTCTATTTTGGAGTTACATAAGTCTTCACAGATAGTTTTACATTCAAATGATTCAGTTCTAGAGGAACAAAACTTGTGGACAAAACAATTCCTGGGGGAATATCTGTCGTCTTCCTCAGAGAACTCTCATAAACCTTTTAGCAATATTGATCATGAGGTATAGAAACCTTCAATATTGAATATAATCTCACTTTGATTAGTTCATTACTTAACTATCTCTGATCTCGTAAAAACCTCCAAAATGAAGAAGAAAACGTTTTATGTTTCAGGTACATTATGCTATGAAGTTTCCTTATCATATTAGTTTGGATCGCATATTAAGCAGGACATCTATAGAGAATAACAAGATAGACGAAAAGAGACTTCTGAAAACTTCATATAGGTATGAATAATATATATATATGTTTGTTTCTTGCTCTCTCTCTCTCTCTCTCTATATATATATATATATAGACACACACTCTGTTGCTGCTTCATCTTTAAAAATTCACCACTTGTTTTGTGGCTCTGGCTCCCTCAAATCAGTCTTTTGAACGTGGGAACAAGCACGGATATGTTGGAGCTGGCAGCGCAAGATTTTAACCAGGGTTTATCCATGTACCAAAAGGACTTGCAGCAATTCAGCAAGTGAGTATCCACAATAAACGGGGGAAAAAATTAAATTTTGAGTACATATTGTGTTCATTTTAAGTGATTAATATAATGTGTGTTTGATCAGGTGGTTTATGGGGAGTGGACTGGATAAACTACACTTTCCAGTGTCAAATACTAAACTGGGATATTCGTTCATGACAGCAGCAGGAGGCCATTCGTGCCCAGAACTTAGCGAAGCACGCCTTGCTTGGGCCAAGAATGGCTTGCTTGTTTACGTCGCTGATGATCTCTATGATGTTTGGGGTTCTCAAGAGGAACAGATTGATCTTTTACGCTTGATGGAGACGTAATTAATTAGCTAGCTTGCGTTCTCTTCTGAATTTTCACCAGATCGATCTGGTTGTGATATTGAAATAGTCTTTGATATTGCCATATATAATGTTCACAGGTGGGACGTAGATGTGAGCAAAGAAAGTTGTTCTGAGACAGTGAAGATATTATTCTTAGCTCTCAAGGAAACCATTTGTGAGATTGCAGAGCAAGCTTCTAAGTTTCAAGGACGAACCGTTCTGAACCACTTGATTCAGCTTGTGAGTCCATTGATTATATATATATCTCACGTCCCAAACACAATATACGACAGAAAGTCGCACTACTTATATATGATTCACTTCAAATTGTATGAGATGAACATGATCTATCGTCTATTTTAGTGGCTATAGTTTGCATCCCAATGTGCTTGATGAATTGTATCGATGTCGTTTTGTTTGCAGTGGGTGGATGTGTTGAGGTCGTTTCTGAAGGAAGCTGAGTGGTCGAGGAACAAAGGTGTGCCGACCATGGAAGAGTATGAACCTAATTCAATAATATCACTGGCTATGGGAGTGATCGTCCTTCCAAGTCTTTATCTTGTTGGGCCTAAGCTTCCCCATGAGACCATTGAGAGTGAAGAATACAATCAACTCTTTCAGATCCTTAGCTTTTATGGCAGATTACTCAATGATGTCAACGGCTACAAGGTAATTAACCCTCATCCCTCCACACCACCACAAACAAATTAATTAGGATTAATAATGTGGGGCCCAGAGAGCATCCTGAAAAAGAGAAGAATCCAGTCAGGCCCCACAGCAAAAATATGTTATATATAAGTGAGTTCCACATCACATCTTAGTTCAAAACTTAAAAGTAACGTGAGTTTATGAATCTTTCCATTTATGTAACTTTTTTTAAACACAACTCTATGCGATGTGAGACTTCTCACTTTCTCATATCAAGTCAAGTTCATTTACACCAGACATTATATTGTGATAATACCTTTGAGGTGCTGTGCTAATTAATTAGGGGGTAATTAATGAAGTTGAAAATGGTGTTTGCAGAGGGAAAGAGAACAAGGAAAACTGAACTCAGTTGCATTGGAAGTGATACATGGATCAGGGGAGGTAACTGAGGAAGAGATCATAAAGAAGATCAAAGTGAAGATTGATGAGAAAAGGAAGGAGCTTGTGAGAGTAGTTTTGCAGAAAGGAGGGAGTGTGGTTCCAGGAGAAGTGAAAAAGGTGTTCTGGAAGATGGCCAAATTGCTGACTTTGATTTACAACAAGGATGACGTCATGCATGAAAATGAAATGCCCCAGGAAATGTTCAACATCAAGGATGCATTGCTCGGAGACCCCATCCTTCTCAATAATTTTGATTGATACTCTCTTTTAAGGAATTGTGTGTTTCTGCAAATAACGTAATGATAAATATTACTCCCATGGCTCATAAATGTACAAGTTAATTGAAGGATTTATTTTAATCTTAAATAAAACCCCAATCTATTTTATTTTAAAATTTATAATCCTTTTTAACATATGAAGAAAAATTCTATCTAGTTCCATTGTAAATAATTATAAAAAAGAAGATATTTTAGAGAAAGTGATACACATTTTTTAATAAATGATTAACTTAATTAATCTTCTAACATTTGCAAATTACTACTTTCGATCCTAATTATAAAATCTCGTTTATAGTCTACAAATAAAATTTTATAATCAGGACTGGAAGTAGTTACTAAGGTTCCGTTTGGTACGAAACATTAAAAATAAAGAATAAGGATTGAGACTGAAAGAATAAAACTATATTAAAAGGGTGTTTATTATGAGTAATTGTATGATACTTGGAATTAGACAAACCTATATACCCCCTTCGTCCCTTATTATAAGAACCAATTTTTTGAATGGATCTGCCTCTTTTTATAAGATCCTCTTTGAGTTTGTCTGAATATTTAATATATTATTACATATTTTATCCCTAATTTAATACATTAAATACATTCTCTTTATTCATTTATTTTACTATTACTCTCTCATATTTGCCCATTTATAAATAAGGGTATGTTTGGAAAAAAAATTATATTTACTACATATTAATTGTTTTGGACTAATTTTAATTGTTTTTTTAAACTGCATCATTTAGTTAAAAGGATCTTATAATAAGGGGAGGTGATATTCTCCAATCTTGTCTATATGGGATTACCTAATCTTATATGATAAGAAATCACTCATATTAAGTATCCTTTTAATATATGTTTTCACCCACAATTTCAATCATTATCCCTCATTTTTAATACTTCCTACCAAACGTAATCAAATTTCCTACATCTAAGGCCCATTAGAATCATCTTCACAAGAATTTATGGTCAAAATACCTGTATAAAAACTATACAATATTATATTAAAGGGAATTGCAAATAAAACTAATTATTGAAAACCACACATAAACATGAGTATTTTACATTTTGAAAGTAGCCAATTAATTCCTTTGTACCAAAAATATTGCCTAATTAATTCATTATGTTTGTGTGCCTAGCTACTGACCTGATCACTTGAATAGTTTTAGTAGAATTAATTGTCTAGTTAATGTGATATGACTGATATCAGTGTGTTTGAATCGGTCCAAGTCGTCGCCGTGGAAGCTCCATTGCTGAAATTTCGTACACACATTATTTATAGTGATTTGATTACAAGCTTTCGTAGTTTGACTTCAAAGTCACTATGACTTATAATTAATTCGCTATGATTTTTATATATTCATAAATTAGAAATGACCTAAATGTCATTCATTTATTCATGAATATTTTCAATGAAATTGATTACTTTTATAGAATAAAAACTAGACCTTTTTTTTTAAGCTCAGACCATACTTCTGGTTTTTAAGTCGATCAAGTCTATGAATATATTAAAAGAATGTGCTTGCACAGGGTTTTACCCCTAATAAGTAAGATAGTAATAAATTTTTTTATAAAACATATATTTAATTAGTTTTGTATCCAATCATTTCAACGCATGTTAATTTTTTTTATATAATTGTTTATTCTATAACATATATTTAAAATTTTTTTAAATTCACTTGTTATGATTTAATTGTACAAAAACAAGTATTAAGTATATAAAGCTAACCGCTGGTTTAAAAAAAAAAAAAGGTATATAAAGCTAACCACATTAGACTTGTCTTAAAATTCATAATTTATGTCGTACTCTGTGTGATTTTAGATAGCCTCTGCTGAGTAGAAGATAAACGGTAAAGGTTTATGGCTATATAACCATTGATTTTTTTTTTTTCTTGCTTGTTGAAAATTGCCATCAATAAATTTCAGCAACAACGAAGAAAACTCTAAAAGCGATCAATAATTGAGAGTAAGAGAGATATATAGGTTTCTTTAAAAAAAATTGCATATTTTTTTCCCTTTAGTTTCATTACTATGATTTGATATAATGCTAAATTTTGGTCCGAAGGAAACTTCTTCCGAGTCTATTCAACAATGGCTGGCCACGAAAAAGGAAAAAGTCTATTGAAAATAGGAAGTAGTGTCAAAGACGTGGAATAATGGAATTAGAAATTAAAGCCAAAGAAATAAAAAGAAATTCTACGAGTCAACAGTACCAAATAAAATATCAAGTGTTCCTCCGGTTCTTAATATAGGACCTAATTATTGAGTTAATTTTGATTTTAAATATAAGACCTATTTCTCATATTCATTAATTTTTTCTAAATTACCCCTATGTATACTTCCTCAACCATAATCAAATAGAAAAAGGAGAGATGATATTAAGAAAGATAATTATAATATTTTAAAAAAATATGTCATATTTCTTATAATTAATTTATTTATTTAAATTTTTTAATCTAATCAAATTTATTAAATAAATCTTATATTAATGTCAGTATACTATTATTTCCACGAAATGCGCGCGCGTGGTGTGTGTGTATGCCTAATGAAAGATGCATGCATTGTGGGACATGTGTGCCTGATTAAAAAAAAAAATAAACACAAAATATAATTAGTACGATAGTCAATAGTTAATGCTCGTAATTATTTCTTGGCGAGCGTGAAATGGCCCTTTTGTTTTATTATTATAAGGTCGCTTTCGTTGAACTGAGCATTATCTTAATGAATCAATAATTTTTAATTTCTGTTAAAAAATATTTCTGTTTGAAAAATAAGTTAAAAAAAATAAAATAAGCAGCGTCGCACACCCGGTGTTAAGTCAGCCATGTTAGATTTTGACCAGTGCGCGTCCTAGCGTTCGGATGTTATTATCGCACTGGTCCATGAAACGTGGTCGTTTCAGGGAGGCAAGAAAGTGTGATTTTCTAATTAAAAAAAACTCCATTGAAAGTCCGTAAAAAATTGCGGCTTGGATCTCACTTATAATCTCGTCTCATTTTTTTTTTTTCTAATTAAAAAAAAGAACCTGTAAGGTTGTATAAACCAGTAATGGAATGGATTAAGTTGTTCAATTTTCGCACAGTGAACAAATTAGAATTCATAAATTTTGGGTGTTTTTTCAATAGAAACAACTGGATTGCAAGTTAAAATAAGTTGATGAATAATAAAAGGACAAAAAAATAAAAAGAACACCTGGATAATTTTTTTTTTTAAAGAAAATCACTATGTGGTCCCATGCAAGGAATAAATGAAACGACCAACAGGTTTTATAATAAAACGAATGACAAGTTTTAATTCATAAAATAATGATAAGATCAAATGATGCTCGATTGTTACTGGCATCTTTTAGTAATTATATTATTTCCTTTTAACCTTATATACAGTAATTCCCATCTTTTCCTCTTTGTAAAAAGAGGACCTAAGTTACAATTAGACTAATATAAATCCTACTTCGTGATTTAAGTCCCTAGTATTTTACAAGCCACTCAGCGCTATGGTTAACTTCTATGCATATGTTAGAGAACTCTACCAGCTAATCTTGTTATAAGGCTACTCTCTAATCTTCTCCATTAATTGAAATAAATAGCTATCAAACTAAAATATTAAATTGAAACTTCTGTTAAAATCCTCCAATAAGATATCACGTTTCCCCTCCCATTATAGATTTAGTGAAGTTTGTTTAAGTTTGCAAAATATAAAGTAATTTTTAGATTTTAGATATTATAGAGATATCGTAAAAAAATAATTTATTAGGTAGATATTTTATCATAAAAAACAGAAACTATTGTGTTTGGTTATGATTATAAAAAAGGTCATTTCTTTAATTTTTAAACAGCCATGGTAAAATTATCTAAAGGTATTTTTTTGGGGGGAAAAAATAAGTGTCTTTTAAAAATCATAAACAAACAAATCTAATCTTAAAATAATGAAAAAATGACAGAAAAAGACTATGAAAATTATAAAATTCTAATCAAGAATTCTTAAAAAAATGTGTTGTTATTGGTAAGTCAATTATTATCAAAATCAGTTAAACTATTGTAACGCTTCCTAATTTAAAATTTTGTAATTTTTACGATCTTTATCTATTATTTTTTAAAAATAATTTGTATTACACACTAGATAATTGTTATTACCTCCGGTTTTTAATATAAGACCTCGTCTAACTTTTATTTTGGTCCTAAATATAAGATTTCAATCTACTTTGTCTCTAATATTTATGTCTTTTTTTCTAAGGTAATTCTTCTAATAATGGTAGTTCTAGCCAATACACTTGATTAGTAAGGATATTTAGGAAAGACAATACATATTTATTACAAATAACTAACTTAATTTATTTTTTTAATCTCTTCAAATTAGTCGACTAGCTCTTATAATTAGAACCAAAAGCTAGTATTAATTAATTCCTTCAAAGTATTGACTTGGAATTTAGAATTGAAGGTCAAAAACTTTAATATTGACTTGACCCTAAATAGGAAGGTAAATAATTCTAATGTTCAAAGCAACAAGTTAACAATTCTTAATTTAGACTTCGCGCACATTAATCTTTATTTTATTTATTAATATATTTTTTTAAGAAAAATTAAAAGCAACAAATTAACAATTCTTGAGTTCAAAGCAGGGAAACACACCCTTTTATTACTCAACAACCCGTTCAATTACACATATTGATCGATACAGGAAACAACTAGCTAGGCTCGTCATCTTATTTCATACACCTACGTATCTCTCTCCAAGCGTGGAAGTTTGTGTGGTAGTGACAACTTCAGATTAACTAGAGACATCCAATAATTAAAACTTCAACTTCCTAATTATTTGGAGAATAGCGAACTGGAACAACGAGTAGATCATTCTTTCTTCTTACTGTGGCACCAAAATCCTCAGCCATGTCCAATTCATTTGTTCCACTAGGAAGCTTCCAATCAAAATGGTAAAGCAAATTTGAAAGTATAAGCTGTAAAACAGGTGCAGCGAACGAGATTCCAGGACATATCCTTCTTCCAAAACCGAATGGAATGAACTCCAAGTTCCCACCTTTGTAATCAACTGTACTGTCAACAAATCTTTCTGGTTTAAACTTCTCTGCTTCGTTCCAGTAATTGGGGTCTCTTCCGATAGCCCAAGCATTGATCAAGACCCTACTTTTGCCAGATATCTCATAGCCATTTATCTCACAAGTCTCACTGTTTTGTCTTGGAACTAGTAAAGACCCAGGTGGGTGCAATCTCAGAGTTTCTCTAATCACAGCTGGTACATATTTTAGCTGATGAATTTCTGATTCATCTACATACCCTTTGCTTCCATAAACATTTCTCACTTCTTCTTGAGCCTTTTTCATTGCTTCTGGGTGATTCATCAATTCTGACATTGCCCACTCTAGTGTTGTTGCTGATGTTTCAGTCCCACCAACAAAAACATCCTGAAATATAGATTCAAAACATGATTTAAATTTCTCTGATATCTAGTACATACTGTAAATTAATTAAACTGAGACTAACCAATATAACAGCTTTGATGTTGTTGAGAGTCAAGGTGACTTCATCGTTATTCTGCTTTTGAACTCTGAGAAGAACATCAACCAAATCTTCATGTGCCTCACCATCAACATCGATCTCTTTCTTTCCTCTGTGGTCGTCGATGATGTTTCCCAGCAACCTGTCAACCTCTCTGTGCGCTTTGGCAACTTTGTATCGGGTTAAACTTAATGCGTAAAGGAACTTGGATGAAGGATAGAGATCAGAGATCGAGAAACCACTGGCCACTTGGACTGTGTACTCCACTGTTGATAGGATTTTCTCAACGTTCTTTGTCTTCTTACCGAAGGCAGCTCGAGCGACAATGGAATTTGTGACTGGGGAGATAATCTTACTGAGATTCACAGTGGAACCTTCTTGTTGATGAATGAACTTGACAACTTCTGAAACTTCCTCTTCCCTTATTTTTCTGAAAGATTGAACCCTCTTCATAGACAAAAGCTCCAGAGTACAAATCTTTCGAAGAAGCCTCCAATAACTCCCATAAGGAGCGAACACCAAGTCCGTGCTATTGTAAGCAAAGACCTCACTGACAAGGATTTTGGGTCTATTGGCAAAGATTTGATCATGTGTTTTGGTAATCTCTTTAACAATTTCTGGGGAAGTGATTACCACGTTGGAGGTTTCTCCAAGTTGAAGATGCATCAAGGGTCCATACTTATTTGCAAGGTCTCTGAGACGGCGATGGGGTAGTGATCCTACAAGTTGGTGGATGTTTCCTATAAGAGGCAACTTGGGAGGTCCTGGAGGTAAGGGTTTGGAGGATTTTCTGGAATTTGAGAGTTTGCGTATCAGAAAGAGGAAGCAGATGAAGGTGAAGATGATAGAGTATGGGATCTGAATCTCCATGGTTACAGATAAGGAGAAGATGATAGTTGAAGTTGGTTCTGGGATTGAAGTCAAGTTCTGCCTTTTTATAACCAGCCTGGAGACAATGCTGATCTGTCTCGTTTGTTGAAATTGGGGTGTTTCGGGAAATAAAATAATTCTAAAGTAAAAAGAAAGAAAAGTGGAAAACCAATTTTTTCAAAAAACTTTCTTTCCATCAAATGAATAATGAATATTGCCACTGACAAGGAGGCCCTTCCAGGGGCGGCTGAGGATAGGAAAGAAGCATATAATATGCAAATTTTTCACGGGAGCTGGCGGTCAGCAGCAGCGTTGGACACCCAGAAACTTCTACGATTTTATCTCATAACATTACAACTGTTACAGGTGAATATCATTATTTTGAATAGTTAACATCATCTTTTTTGTAACAGTAAAAGACAAAATGGTTTTTTCAGGACATATTTGCAATTTTCAGATAACAAGCGCTTTTGAGTTAAAATTTTCCAAGCAAATTTATACATTAATCTAAAAGTACATTCCACATGTTTATATTTGTGTGTCCTTAGAGCAGCCATACTGGGTATATGCGTAGCGTACACTTACATATTAATATTATTTTTTTATATTTCTGTCAGTTATTCTTAATATAAGAATTAGTTTTCCATTTAGTTTAGTCATAAATATTTATCTATCTTTTTAAGGTAGCAGCCATTGTATTAATTGCATATGTCAAATGTTTCATCAAATGATAGTTTTAATTAAAACACGTAATTAGCCAGAATATTTTAGAAAAGACAATGCCTATTTATTACAAAATAATTAACTTAACTAATTTTTTTAATCTATTCAAATTAGTCAACTAGCTTTTGTATTTAATACTACCTCTCTTTCTTAATATAAAAACTAATTGACTAATTTGAGTATATTAAGAAAACTAGTTAAGTTAGTTATTTGTAATAAATATGTATTGTCTTTTTTAAAATCATTGCTAATCAAGTGTATTGGTTATAACTACTGTTATTATAAAAACCACTCTGAAAAAAAAATATGGAAGACAAAATATCTTAGAGTTTTATATTTATGACCAAAATAAAAGTCAAACAAGCTCTTATATTAAGAACCGGGGATAGTATCACGCTTTTATGTTTATCTTTCTTTTTTGTTTTGTCGGGTGAAAACTTGATCATTGGTAACAGGTTTAATTTAAATTTGCAAGGCAATTTGTTTGGATACAATCAGAAACTGAAATTTTGTTGCTGAAAACGCCTTTTTTTTGTGGACATTAATTACAGACTAGTCTCTGATCAAAATGGTGGGAGTACGAGTCCTATTATACACTCATGCTTTTCCACGTTCTGGATCTTCAGTTCTGTTTTTAAATACTGTAAGACATTAAATTGTTTATTTAATTCGACGTGTATAAATTTGACTCTATGCCCCAATCACGCTGGGTTTCGTTTAAATCATTACTTGCTAAAAATTTTAAAGTAAAAACAACGGGATATCTAGTAAAAAACAAAGGCTCTTAGAGATTACCACATCAATTATTTTAATGAGCTTTCCCTTGACTTGAATTTTGATTATTGGAGTTTAACATCAATAATAAAATATTTTAAGACTTTATTGTATTTCTTAATTCTCTACATTCAATTCACATGCTACCTTTACAATTTCTTTAATTAAGTTCCTTACCCCGAAAAACAATTTCTTTTAATTTCATGTCTTCATTTATCATTAGATTAAAGGAGATCAAGAAATTTGGTAACATACTCCAAAATGAAATTATAAAGACTAAAAAATTATTTGTTTTTTAATAAAGAGACCAGCTTCTCATGTTATAAATGCTGGAACCGAATCAGTAGCAAGCAGTGGAGATGTAATTAAACTTGTCCCAAAAAAAAATAATATTACTATGGCCTGGTAGCTGAAAATGGGCTTCTCACAAAAAGTAATAAAAGGCTTATTGGGCCTTGTGAGAAGGCTTATTGGGCCATATAAAAGACTTATTGGACCTTATATGTCATTTTCCCCCTTGCTTGTCTTTTCTACCCCAACGGTTCCTTGGATCATGCCGATGCCAGCTGATGCAAGTTTTTTGTTTTTTGTTTTCCAATAAAATATATTTTTCCTGTGGCTGCAGGGGAGAAGATTCCATCCATGTGCACGGAAATGGGGTTATTTCATTTTATGGTTTGGTCTATTTTTAAGATGTCTCTTCGTCGTATCTTAGCTTTCTTAGATGCCTTCTTATCTTGCTCAAGTTTATAGTTTATATATCTAATAGTTTTGAGATGGGAAGTGGAGAGAAAATCGAGGAATAATAAAACAACTTCGCAGTAACCCATTTGCAAGTTACCGATTAACTTCATCAGTATTCATACGAGAATAATATGTCATTCCTAGTTCCTTTACATTTTATTCCTCTAGAAAGGAATAATATGTAAGTTACGAAACATAGCTTGTAAAATTACATGAATATTTCAACGAACCGTTCAAACTCTGAACATTGGGACATACAATTCCTTTATTCTTTACCAAGAACTAATTAAACAAAAAAGGCAGAAAACACCAGTCTCTTGAGTACTTTGGGCCAAAGGATTAAGAGGCTACGTAACTAATTGGAATTAGACAGAGATTCTCGGATCTTCTCACACTTGCAGAAAATGTCTCAGTCATTTTAAACTCTTCATGAGTGATTCCATTTGGCAAGTTCCAATCAAAATGATACAGCAAGTTAGCAAGTGGAAGCTCAATGCTGGATATAGCAAAGTTAATTCCAGGACATATTCTCCTTCCAGCACCAAACGGAATATAATCAAAGTTTGCTCCTCTAAAATCAATTGGATTATCCAAAAATCTCTCCGGCTTGAATATCTCGGCTTCTTCCCAAAATGTGGGATCTCTTCCTATTGCCCAAACGTTGACCATGATTCTGGTTTTTTCAGGTATCTCATAGCCATTGATCACGCATGTCTCAGAACTCTCCCTTGGAACTAGCAACACACCAGGTGGGTGCAACCTTAAGGTCTCTTTCACGACTGAGCTTAAGTACTTCAATTGATGAATCTCACTTTCATCCACAAATTCTCTTCCCTTGTAGAGCCTTCTTACCTCAGCTTGAGCCTTCTCCATCACAGATGGGTTTTTAATCAACTCAGCCATTGCCCACTCTAGAGTAGTTGATACTGTCCCTGATCCACCAAAGAACATATCCTGAAAATGGATTGTGGTAACATATTACACTAACTCAGTAATAATTATCTGTAATAGGTGGTTATTGTACAGAGTAATTAAGTGTAAGAGTAAACTTTTAATGTATGCTCCTTACCACAATGACGGCTTTGACGTGGTCATGAGTTAAGGTGAATTCCAGATCTCCTCCCTGCTGATGAATCTTCAGAAGAACATCAAGTAGATTCTCTTCATTATTCTCATTGCTTCTGGCTTTTCGTTCTTCGTGATCCCTAATGATGTTTTCCAACATTTGATCATTCATTTTGTGGACCCTTTCGAGTTTAGCTTTCATTCCTGTAATCACTTGAAGCACTTCTATCGAAGGAAAGAGATCAGCAATTGAAAAACCTCCCACCATTTTCGTTATATCGTCCATTGTAGATAAGAAAGCTTCATGATCTCCATTTCCAGACTTCCTACCAAAGGCTGCTCTTGCAACTATAGAAGTTATAGTTGAGAAAATTTTCTCACTCAGATTTATGACTGACCCTGAACCAGAGAACACATCTTTGACAAGTGCAGATACCTCCTCTTCCCTTATGAACCTAAAGGATCGAACACGTTTTGCAGTTAAAAGCTCTAAAGTACATATTTTTCGGAGGTTTCTCCAATGGTTTCCAGTATGTCGGGAAAATCCAATGTCTATGTTATTGTAAGTGATGATCTTGGCAGCAATAATGTGAGGTCTATGGGAGAAGATGAGGTCATGTGTTGTGAAGATTTGTTTGGCAATCTCTGAGGAAGAGACAATGACATTAGATGTCTCTCCAAGTTGAAGATGCATTAAGGGTCCATACTTATTTGCCAAGTTTCTCAAAGAGTGATGGGGTAGTGACCCTACAATTTGGTGGATGTTCCCTATAAGAGGAAGCTTCCATGGCCCTGGTGGTATGGTTTTGAAGGATTTCTTGGCGTTTGATCGTTTGTATATCAGAAGAAGGAAGCAAAACAAGGTGAAAAGGAAGATCTGGAGAATCCCCATGATTATAGAAGTCCAATGTTCATCTATTGTCCGGGGTAGAACAAACTGCACATATGAGTGCTGTATGGAATCTGCATTAATGAGGATGCTTTGTTATAATACCTTGTATAATGACAGCTTCTGTTCTGTTTTACTTATTCTGGTGGGTCCGCATTTAAAAATTCTTGTGAATTGTGATTAATTAATTAATTAATTAATTATCGTCATTTAACGCAACCTCTTTCCAAAGTCGTTGTCTAAAAGTCAGACCTTAAAATTAAATAATCATCATCGCCTATTTGTCAAATGAATACAGAACTGCAGTAAGGCTTCCCCCCCCCCCCCCTCTTTGCCTGCAGTAATTTTCCCCCCCAACATTTGCCAGCAGTAATAGCACCATATGCTAGGATAAGAAATATCCCCTGTCAATTGAAACCTTCCAAAGTGTGTGTATATACATGCATATATATATATATTCAAGCATTGTATCTATAAATTTCAAATCAAGATAAGGGGAAAAAAGGATTGCATACCAATATCAAATTTCATTATTGAACCAAGCTATATATATATATATATATATATATATATATATATTCTGTACTGTCTATATCAACGTCAGCATATAAATATTAAATGTAACTAATCTTTTGCCAAATTAAATTTAATTAGTGTAATGACTTAAGTTTTTTGTATTTATCGAATATTATAAACTATCTGTCTATCTTTGATTGGTCACCATAAGCTTTAGTCAATTTTGAGACTTGCACCAACGAAAAATCTCAAGTTGAAAACTTGAAATCTTCAACATAATCTGGCGATCATGCATATATTAATTTTAATAATAATAATAAAAACAATAAAAGAAAATGTCACATTATCAGTATTTTTCTTTCGGCCCAAACAGTTATAGTCAACGTTTGGCCCCAAAAAAAAGTTATAGTCAATGTAAGAGAGCAGCCTTTATTTGAATAATTACGTGGACAAAAATGCCCCTGTAGATGTCCACCAACTGATCGTCAAGACTTGTCGCCATTGGTCGGACGGCGGGTAGAAACCACTATTGCCAAAGCCAAAGATAAAACCGGCGCGGCAGTGTCAACTGTTTTTTTTTTTGGGGGGGGGGGATCACCTTTTTTAAAATGAATTAATAACTTGAGTCAACTCTTAAATAAGTGAATTTCAAATTAATGTTAATGGTTTTCAATTGTGGAGTTTTGCAAATTTCATTACTAACTTCAATAGTTTTATTTTCAATTTTTTTTGCCGGAATTTTTATTTTGAGAATTACAAATAATTTGTGCAACACACTAATAGAAAGGCATAAGTTGAATATGAAATTGGTGAAAGCCTACTATAAAAAGGAATTAACTTCACTTGAAAATTAATTGATTTTAGATTGAACTTATTGTTGGGAACTAAGAATAAGATTTCTGAGAAGATGTATGGTGGGGAATTAAATTTGCGTAATCCCACTACTAACAAACACTAATTACAAATTATTTCCGTTTGTATCCCCAAAAAAAAAAACAAATACTGATTGCAATTGAAAATTTACCTATTTCATTTGGACTAGATTATGGTTGGAAATTAAAAATAAGACTACTAAAGTGATATAAAATGAGTATGAAATTAATTTGTGTAACTGTACTACTGAAAACTTCTAAGCTTCTTGTAGATAGTCTCAACAAACTACAAGTTCATCAAACTCTGAACATTGTACCATATTATTTAACTACTTATTCTTTACCATCAGAGGAAAGTTTACAACGACCAGAACTAAACAAAAAAAAACAAGGGCAGAACAAGTAGGTTAATTAAGTAGTACTTTAACTTTATTTAGAGGCAAGGTGACACATCATTGAGGCAATACTATTATACAACTAGGGTTGATAACTGATTGGGATCAGCTTGAGATTCTCAGTTCTTCTCACGCTTGCAGCAAACGTCTCAGACATATCAAAATTTTCAGGAGTGGTTCCATTTGGCAGCTTCCAATCAAAATGATACAGCAAATTGGCAAGTGGAAGCTCGATGCTAGCTACAGCAAAGTTAAGTCCAGGGCATATTCTCCTTCCAGCACCAAACGGTATATAATCCATGTGTGCTCCTCTGAAATCGATTGGATTATCCAAAAATCTCTCTGGCTTGAACGTCTCGGCTTCATCCCAAAATTTGGGATCTCTTCCTATTGCCCATCCATTGACCATGATTCGAGTCTGTTTAGGTATCTCATAACCATTAATCACACATCTCTCAGTGCTCTCCCTTGGAAGTAGCAACACTCCAGGTGGGTGAAGCCTTAAGGTTTCTTTCACAATCGAGTTTATATATTTCAATTGGTGAATCTCACTTTCATCCACAAAGTCTTTTCCCTTGTAGATCATTCTAACCTCAGCTTGAGCCTTCTCCATCGCTCCTGGATTCTTCGTCAATTCAGCCATTGCCCACTCTAGAGTAGTTGATGATGTCTCAGATCCAGCAATGAACATATCCTGAAAATGGATCATGAGAATATAGCATATGAATTAATTTGTCAGATGCTCAATTTAGAGAGAAGCAATACTTTCTCTAATAATACCTGTAACAAAGGGCAAGTAATTAATTAGTTGACTTTCAAAACCTGACCATATATAATCACGAAAGATGGCTCTCAACTTTTCAATTCTGTACGAATGATGACTTCGAACAATTTAAAAGCTGTCAATTTGATTATCAGGATGATAATTTATTCTAATAATCATACTTGTTGATCGTTAGTGAATTTAATAACTGGATGTCTAGCTGTTGGAGACAAGGCCCATGAGAAAAAATTATTAAAAGAAATGAAGGACAGAGCCTTCATCTTGTCCTACCAACTAAAAAGCATAAGCATCACGGTGGAAGTAAACTTATATGTAATATTAAAAACTTTTATAAGCCACTTTTTCAAGCTCATAACAGCTCAAAAAAGTAAACTTTTTAGTTACTTACCAGAATGACGGCTTTGACGTGGTCGTGAGTCAGGGGAAATTCTTGATCTTTTGCCTCCTGAATCTTTAGAAGAACATCAACTAGGTTCTCTTCATCGTTCTCATTGCTTTTAACTTTTCTTTCTTTGTGATTCCTGATGATGTTTTCCAATACTTGATCATTCAATTTGTGGACCCTTTCAAGCCTGGCTTTCATTCCTGTAATCCTTTGAAGCACCTCGATAGAAGGAAAGAGATCAACAATTGAAAATCCTCCCACCATTTTCGTTATATCGTCAAGTGTAGATAAGAAAGCTTCTTGATCTCCATTTCCAGACTTCCTACCAAAGGCTGCTCTTGCAACTATAGAAGTTATAGTTGAGAAAATTTTCTCACTCAGATTTATGACCGACCCTGCACTGGAGAACACGTCTTTGACAAGTGCAGATACTTCCTCTTCCCTTATGAACCTGAAAGATCGAACACGTTTTGCAGTTAGAAGCTCCAAAGTACAGATTTTTCGAAGGTTCCTCCAATGGTTTCCATGTGGGGAGAATCCAATGTCTATGTTATTGTAAGTGATGATCTTGGCAGCAAGAATATCAGGTCTATTGAGCATGATAAGGTCATGGGTTTTGAAGATCTCTTTGGCAATTTCTGCGGAAGAGACAATAACATTGGATGTCTCTCCCAGTTGAAGATGCATTATGGGTCCATATATGTTGGACAATTTTCTGAAGGCATGATGAGGCAGTGCCCCGACAATTTGATGGACGTTTCCTATAAGAGGTAACTTCCATGGCCCTGGAGGTAAGGGTAGGGTTTGCTTGGATTTCTCTGAATTCGATCGCTTGTATATCAGAAGAAGAAAGCAAAACAAGATGAAGTAGAGGAAGATCTGAAGAACCTCCATGATCACGGAAGAAAGATGCTGATACGTTGTCCAAGGTAGATTGACTTATATATATCATTGTTACTATACGTAGTCTTAACTAATGTTAGTTTCTATTTTTCAGCTTAACGTCACTTTTTAGTTAGTATGGTGAGTCAGCATTTGGAAATTGTGGCAATCAATTGTTTAATCGTATTTTAAGCTCTTTTCAAAGTCGTCTCCTAAGTCAGATCTTAAAATTCAACATAAGCACTTATTTTCAACTATTGTGACCTAATTAATTTGATTTTTCAACATAAATCTTTGGTCAATTTTGTGACTTGCGCAGCTAGTGTCAAGTTGGAATACTCTCCGTCCATGCTAACTACTACTTTATTCCTTATTATAAGTCACTTGTATCTCAAACCTGTAAACCAAGAAATACATTAAATTAATCAATTTTTTTCATATTTATCTTTATTAAAAGTTGAAATAGAGAGAGGGAGGGAGGGGATGGACTACAAAGAAAATGAAAAGCTAAAAGAGAGAGATGGAGAGGGAGAGGGACGTGTTTCGAAAAGCCATTATTTCAAACTTAAATTAATTAATTTTTATTAAATTAATAGGGGTAAAATTAGAAAAAAGATCATTAATTATACTACAAGTGACTTATATTTTGAAACAAACTTTTGAGGTAAAAGAGACCTATAATAAGGAACAGAGTGATAAATTAGTTAAAATTGATTAAAGATAATAAATGTGTAAAGACTGAAAGTTTTTTTCCCTTCAAAATATCCTTATTTATGGAGGAAAGAGTATAAGAAAAAGAATAAAATAATTATTATAAAAAAGAGAATTATGAAGAGAGAGAATGTGTGATGGAGAGAAATTATATTAAACTCTAATTTTTAGAAACATTTATTATCTAGGAAATCATGTTTCAAGAAACAAAAAGTAAATATATTAACTATTAAAATAAGTCTTTAATATGGGCAAAATAAAAAATTTGTTATAAAAATTTAAAATAACTTGTAAATGTTGCTTATATTTGTGGGTAAAGGAGATGATGGCTATTGGTTATAAAAAGTGACGATGGAAGTATTATTTAAAAAGAAAATGTATTATTCATCAAGTTAATAAATGCAAGTTGACAAAGTCAATATAATGCATGGCCGCCTTTATTATTTTGAAATAACTTA